AACGGCCTTGTAACGTAAAATAAAACACCATAGATGGAAGGTGAATAGTCCTTTGCAATTGTGTAGTGCAGCCTTCGCAATGCTCCCTTCGCTATAAACGAGTTGCTAGTTAGGACTAGCTCTCGATCACGGTGGCTCCGTCAAACAAACAGAGATTCATGTATTGCAGACATAGGTTCTACCTCCTCCTACTTTCCGGCACAGCTGGCACATCCTAATACCCCTTCCCGGTTTTGAACACTTCTACTACAAGTACCGTACATAACAGATGTAGTAAGTAATAAACAGTCCACACTCCTACGGGTATGCAACAGATGCACCACCCATCCCGTATCACTATAGTGCCTTCAGTCTAATTTAACACTTGGCTTTCCCGTACGATAACCCCATCCGCTCAACCAGCCCTGCCCTGCCCCCCTCGCCTGCAAGGCCCTCTCTACCGCCGCCGGTTCCGTATCGCAAACCGGGACCGTCCCGGTATCAGACACGGCTGTCTCCAGTGTGCGTGCAGGCGAAGGTGCATTGGTTACTTTGGGTTCCGAGGTGTTGGGTGTGGAGGCGAATGCTGAGCTTAGTCCAGTATACCTCCACCATGTGGCTGACGTTGCTGTCGGTGTGTCTGTGGCAGCTGAGATACAAGGCATGACTACGGATTAGATGCAGATAAACGGCTTGTGTGTACTTGTATGGAGTGTGCATGTAGGTACACGCATGACCAACTTGCGCCTACCCACCCAGATACGTATCCACACTTACAACGCTACTAGACCCAGCACCAGGCAAGTTACATCGCATACTGACAGAACGGTGTGATGCAGCAATGCGTATGTCCGTATACATACAGTCATCATATGTACTACACCTACCCGGCTTTTTATCCACACTCACAGCACTACTAGACGCAGCACCAGGCCTGGGCATCGAATAGCGACTGTTGGTGTGTGTTGCCCTGTGTGCATTCGCACTCACCGGAGCAGTTGACAAGATCGATGGCCATTTAAAGAACCCCCCCGAGGGACCGTTCTGGTAGATGTATATGGTAGGAGAGTATAGTAACTATCTGTTATTATGGGATATATGAGGTAGATGTATATGGTAGGAGAGTATATTAACTATCTGTTATTATGGTATAAATGACGGAGTGTTTTTTTTATGGTAGGTAAAATAGTATTAGAGCTGACTACCAATGTTATAAATGATGGTTTTTGTGTGCCCCCCAGAGGGACCGTCCTGGTAGATGTATATCGTAGGAGAGTATATGAACTATCTGTTAGTATGGTATATATGACGGGGTGTCTTTTCTTTTGGTAGGTAAAAGAGTGTAAGAACTGACTACTAATGTTATAAATTATGGTGTTTGT